ACTCATCACACGCCCTATCTCTCGCAGGGAATATTACAGTATCTAGTGGCGAACATTTATATTTTCGGAATTTTAGGGAAATTCACTCATAATAAAAATAATGAAGTAATGTTAACTCACAACTACGGTTCCGCAGATAATACGATTAGGAAGTTCATCATTGATTGTGACATGAGCGGAGAGTACATGATGTTTTGGCTTTAGTCCAAACCGTCCGTGGTCAAATCTGAAGGTCTGATATGATCCAGCACGAACACTACTGGTGGACGTCTGATCACCCATTTGAGTCAAAATTGGGGGGGGGGGCATTTGACCCCCCTGCCCGGTGCGGCACTCTGAGTAAGTCGAGGATGTCAAGCGACGTCACGGCTATGTACCGTCATGCATTATCTTGCCTGAACTGTCCCCTCGTGTCTTGCCACGTCTTTCTGAGGCCCAGAAATCAGTACATGGGCCGCTATCTTGGTTCGTAAGGAGCCTATAAATAATGATGTGCTCCGCCCCTCCTCCCTTTCCCAATGTTTGTCACAAGAAACTTGAGAGTGTTTCTCAAATTGTAATTGAAACTGAGAGAACCAAATATTGAATACCAGAGTACAAAAGTAGTGATTGCTAGGGGAAATGAATCTGAACAGCCAGAGAAAAGCGCACCTTTTATTGAGCTTCCTCTCTAGAATCCAATTCTGGAAAAACCACGGCGTGATTGATTTGAATCCATATATAAATCTGAAACAGCCTCGTAATATCCAAAGTTTTGAGGGTCAGTCTTACAGTATCAAGTCCTCCAGAGTCTTAAAGTATCCCGTTACACAGAACCTTGCTGATGATCTAAAAATTAGTTTACTTTGATCGTAGGGGTGGAGACAGCTTGTCGAGTCCGCGGGGACTTTATCAACAGCGTGCCGCTCCCCTTTACCATTTTACGAGGTGCGGGGGAGGCGCACGCTACACATGCGCATGCGGCTTTCAGTTGAGCTTACTGTTTGATCGTCAATCCGTTATCGATTTTATTGTATTCACCCCCCCCCTTACATTTTCCCTGAGAATTTCTCGAAAGCGAGGAAGCGCCCTGGCCAGCGAAAATGCTGTTAAGAGTCTGCGCATTCAATTCCTGAGCCTGCCTTTCCTTAAAACGAGATGGTCACGATGACCGTATGTGATTCCTTCACTGGCTTTTAGCCATCGGTGGCACGACCAGCACGAAATGTACCTTCGAGTGAACGCTTCAAATTTGAAAACAGCACCTGCTAACGGTTTCTCTCAAACTTCTCCGACAGCTCTTAGGAATGGAGAGGGCGTTTCCACGTGCTTGAATGTTAGCGTTGAGTGTCTGTCGGCGGTTGCCTGGTCAGGGCTGAGAGAGGTAAGAAGGACCTTTTTTAGGCTGTTCCTACTCCGTAATGAGCACGCTTCCTCCTGCAAACGAGAGGGTGTGTGAAGGAGTGTGGCATGGAACGCGAGCAGGGCGGCATTTCCCACCAATGACGTCAGCTAGAGCCCGCCACAGCTGGAGGAAAATGCTACTCTGCCCACCGTGCACTCCACGCCCCTTCGTACGCTCTCGCGTTTGCAGGAATAATAAGTGTACGTCTATGACCGCTAAGCTCAGAGCCATACTTTGGACACACCCTCCCTCTCCTTGATATGCGCTGCAATCGTGCAACATTCTCAGTAATCTGCAATGGAGGACTCTTACGCAGTCATCAAACCCACCTGCTAAGAATGGCTAGATCGACCGGTTCTCCACAGTCCCACACGCGATTCATGACCCAAGATCCGGATCTGGTCGCCAAGTACACCTGAAAATAACAGATTGTCAAAATGCTGTTCCTTATCTCTTCTTAAAAAAAAACTATTCTGTTCACTTCTCAGACCTGCAGCAGGTTAAAGGCAGTTGGCACGATAAATCGCTATACAGGTGTAGGATTTGTACAACTGGCTTAACAGAATTCCGTGACCTCGGACAGGCGCTGCGTGAAGCCTTTTCCAAGGAGGGTACCTCTATAACGCCCTATTGAGCAACAACTTTACGTCCCAAACGCCTTCCTTGCCCGCCCGCCCACAAACGGACGACCGTTTCTGACGCTCGTATTCATTCATTTGCTGAGCAAATTATGAAGCAAAGGGATTGGTATGAAGCGGCGGTGATGCTGCATGCATACATGGGTACACATATGCAGCCGTATCTTCGGTAGCGGTGATTGGCAAGATGCGTACGGGAAACTCGTCCGAAATCGATTTACAAGTCACTGAGAACGGAGGCTTTTTCTTCGCCGGATTTTGACCGTTTCACTCCGTTCTTTCGCCATTTCCCCACTATACAGCGCCCTACTAGCATTTTAGGCTAAGTAGGAAACCATCGTGCCAACTGCCTTTAAATTGCGTCTGTATATTGAGTTCAAACTTGCAGTTCCGTCGAAAGGGGTTGGGTGTCGCCCGATATGTTGAGAAATCGAAGACTGGTTTCAGGATAACGCTGAGAAACGAGCGGAAAGCGACTCCACCCCAACTCACCCCCTCCCTCCCCTTCAAAGTGGAAGGGAAAGTCACCAGGTCACCCTCTCCCCTCGTCGAGGATTCCTCAACGATGATGTGCTTTGACTCGAACATCGCTGCAGGGTGCACATGAAGCGTCGTGGAAATGCTGCATTAATGATGCCATGGTTGAGGAGATGAAACATTTTAGGGCACATCGTTATTGGGATTCTCCAACAGGGGGTCTGGGCTGGGAATTTTCTTTTGTTAGGTGATTTTTCTTGTTTCAGAGACGTTGCACAGGGGGGTCGTAACGTACTGATTCGTTGTTGGCAGGGGCCTGTTTCATGTGTACATACTATGTATACCTCACCTCCGTCCCTGCTTGACAGCAAAATTTTTGAGCAAAAGTGGAGAATTTCGTAATTTTTGGGGAAATTCCGGAGAAGCTAAAATTGGGAAAACTTGACAAATGGTAGAGAGAGGGTTGTATTTTTCTCGCAGTTTCTCCCTTTCAGTTGTGCTTGACAGAAGGAGAAGGAAACCAGGTGGTCGTACATACCAACCTCCTAATAGAGGGGAGGGGGTCGTACGGATCACACGACCAAAACTCCAACCAAGAATGTCCCTTGAACATTCGGCCTGTGCGTTGAAGTGACTGGTCTGTTGTCAGGTGGATCTCCTCCGAATCCTCCCACTGTAATCGGAATTCATCCAGAATCAACAACCTTTTTGCATATTTTGCTAAGTTCCACTGCAATGTCAGCTCCACTGTTTCCTATTCCAACCACAACCACTGTCTGATCTTCGTAACCCTAAAATGAATACATTTCAATCAGTGTCACATAAAATAGACTCTAGAGGCTACTCACTATGTGGTCCTTGTAGTCATGACTGTGGACGAGTTTTCCTTGGAACGATTTCTGTCCAGGAAATGGTGTTGGCCAGTGAGGATCGGTATGATGACCGGTGCAGACCATGACTCCGTCAAACGTTTCCACTGCGCTATTGTTTGTTCTAAATTTTATTTATTTAGCTGTTAATTTCAGTCATCCGCAAGGCAGTTGACAATAGACTGAAAATTAATTGACAATAGATTAAAGATAAAAAGGAAAGTACAACAGCAACGAAGTTATACGATTAAGAAAGCAGGCGAACCGTATTCTGAACTGCTCGTAAAATTAAGTACACAGTACCGCCGAGCCACCTGTGCAAAAAACGTATAATACAGGCTGGTCAAAGTATCTGACCAAATGTCCAGTTCCAGGCGTTGACGGACCCGACACATTTACCCGACTTGCGCACTTTTCGGGGGTGCTGTATCCCGTCTGTTACAGGATATACTGATCTGTGCTGATAGGCTGTATGTCGCATCTTTAACTTAATTTTCTTGTCTTTTTTTGTGGGTAAGGGATTCAAAGGGAAAGGGGCTAGCGGCGAGATGATCCACGTCTACCCTATTCGACTCTTCAGCGCTTCCTACGACTAATGGCAAGCCTATAAGTGGAACGAGGATCACTATCTCGGTAGAAAGGCATAGAGTAGCGAGGAGTTTGTGACGCTTCCCCTTCACCCTTGCCCTGTGTGCCTAGCTCTCTTCGCATCACCTTGCAGGGTCAAAGTAAGAACCTTCCCAGTTACAAGGGGATTCCAAAAGGAGGGAAGTACCTCTTCGCGTCAATCTCGTAGTCTGGTTGAAGACATAGTCCACGCTGATTATACAGGAAGAGTTAGCCCTACCAGCGCCTCTTTCATCGGTCATTCCTTTCTCCCTCACGCTGTTGAAAAATAGGTGGGTTTTAATGAGGAAAGCGCAATGGAAGGACAAACTCCGCCGACACAGACTGCGATTTGAAATGAGAACCTATATGCAGATTAATTTATGTCGAGTTTAAGCGTGAGTCGAGGAATCCCTGACATAGGGTCGTATTCAAGAATCTGGAAGAGAGTGGTCCCAAAGACAGTTCCGCTGTAACATCTAGAAATTGGTGTGCGTATTGTTGGAAAAGCAGATGACCGCAGCAGCAATTATGTATGTATTGGCTTTGAAAAGTTGAGAGGGATGGGAGTTAAGATGCAGAGCTGCTCGACTGGCCCCATTTCCCTTTAAAGACACAAGATACGCTCGTTCATTAAAGATACGCTCACACACATTGAGGGTGTATGAGACTATCAGCCCCCCAGCTGTCGATGTGTCGTGGTCCCCCCGCCCAAACATGCCCAGGAATGGAGATACAGGACCGTGAAACACGCTAGTTCCTCCATGCTCCGCCCGGCGCAGATTCCCGTCCTTCATAACATCCGTTGCAAGCGCGCGTGTCGCGTGCGGCTCCTTGGCACTTTGCCAAGTCCTTTAATTGCGCTTTCAAATACAAGTAAAACGCAATTTCCTGATGCGGATAACATTGGAGGTGCTGCAAAATAAGAACAGAAGATGATGACGAGGGTCAGAACTTAAAAGCAACTGTGCCACTTCTGCAACATCCCTCGGAGGCCGCGTATTTCCACGAAACATGAAAATAAAACGGCATACTCGTTAGTTTGATACAAGCAAAACGCAATTTCCTGATGCGAATAAAATTTAGGTGTTGCTCATGCTTCAAAATCCATGTACAAGGAGATGAAGATGACACAGGCTAGAAATGAAGCACAACGATGTAAATGTAAACAAAACAAAAATGAAAAAATCAAGGAAAGGCAAATTAGTTGAAATCGCCTGTAAATTTCTACGATCCGGCGCGAATCCGGCGCCAAAGCCATAGAAATACTTAGAATAAACGAGTGGGACGCTTGGATTGTTTTTATTCTCATGTTTTCTGGGAATGCGCGGCCTCTGATGGATTCTTATGCGGATGCGCAGCCAAGTTCTCCTTAGAGTTCAAGGCTACTTGATTATCAAACTTACTAATTATTGATTTATGCTAGCACCTCCAATGTTATCCGCATCAGGAAATTGCGTTTTACTCGTATTTGAGAGCGCAATTAAAGGACTTGGCAAAGTGCCAAGGAGCCGCACGCGACACGCGCGCTTGCAACGGATGTTATGAACGACGGGAATCTGCGCGCAAAAGGTGTAAGGCGGAGCATGGAGGAACTAGCGTGTTTCACGGTCCTGTATCTCCATTCCTGGGCATGTTTGGGCGGCGGCGAACCGCCGACACGATAGCACATGCTGGAGGGTTGATAGTCTTATACACCCTCAATGTGTTTGAACGTACCATGTGTCTTTGAGAGGTGAGCCTGCCCTACGTTGGCGATCGCTTCCCTCGTTTTTATGCACTTTCGTCAAGTCTTTTGCCCGGAATCCCGGAGTACCTTCGCCGGCTCGCTCGGGATAACGAGAGATTTCTTCTGCTTTGTTTCTTTTAGGTAGATCAGTTAGCTAGGACAATTCTGTTTCTCTCCAGAACCCTTAAAGGTTTCGATGGCCAATAGCGAAGTGCATCTTCGAGTCCAAGAAACAGAGTAACAGTACCCTTTTACGAAGTGAACCTAGTGCGCCCCCCCCCCTCGTCCGACAACGCATGAATCAAGGCTACTTCTACAAATTTTCACAGAGACGGGCTGATTAGCCGACGAACACCATTTCTACCTGAAGTTCAGCATATTCGTCATACGAATACTTACTTGAGATCGAGCCATTCCACATCCCACTGCCCAGTTTCGTGGAAGCGACTATTCCTTTTGATTGATCTCACCTTGTGCTCAAAGCGAATGTGTTTCAGCAGGTCAAACCTGAATATTAGTACTGGAATGAAGCCGATATCGAAGATTGAAGGATAAGTTTATGCTACCAAAAAGCAGCTTGGGAATCTGAAGATCATTGCCTCATGGAGTACCCACTAGTGGTGAGTGGCATGGTGATAAATTTTCTGCTCCGATTAGATAGGAAAAGGCGGCCAGTTTGGTTTGGTGGGGGGGGGGGCATTTCACCCGTTTCCATCGACCACTGCTGATGTCTGAGAAACTACTGAAAGAAACCAAGGAAAGTGCAAAATGCCTCTCCCAATCCAAACAGCGCCAAAAATATTTCTTTTCGTAACCGCTCAGTTCGCTTACCTGTTCGCGTAAGATCGAAAATATTCCAACAATTCCGTATTATGCATAAAATTAGCCGCATCCTTGGGAGGGGGAAAATCGCTGCAAAGAAAGGCTTGATAAAATTGCCGTAGTAAGATACGTGAGGGGCATACCCACCTGTACGCTGTCATTTCCTTCGATGTGTTGATTACGGTAGTTTTCATGACGGTACCTTCTCCTGCAAGAAAGATGCTGAACATCGCAGAAACATATGTTTTCCTTGCATAGCCTAGTAAGTTCTGTTGGTCCCTGTTTGATTGCCGACTATATACTCATCGCTCGTCGTCGGCGAAAAAGCCGTGGAGGTGGAGGGTCGTGCCTGGACCCCATTCGAAGGGGGGGGGGTCGTACTCACACCGACATTCGCACATC